AAGTTATGGGGTTTGGCATCGGAGAGATGTAAAATTAAAGAAAGGTGTCTTTTCATGTTAAAGATTTTATAAAACAGAAGTGGAAGCTTTAATAATCCCTCCTCCCACCCACATGTGTGTGGAAAAGGACCTTCACCGATTGCGTACCTATAGGTTCTGCCATACACGCTAATATGAATTTGGAACTTAAAAATTTTTATGATTGGCAATTAAATGCAACAGGGTAAAGATGAATAAAAAAAGAATTTTCTGGTTATAAAATAACACTCGTTTCAATATCGCTGCCCTAATGGGTGATTTCCTGAAGGAATTAGTGGAACAGCTCTCTTATTATACCTGATTTGTTGATTTTCAATTCAGTGGAACAGTCCTCTCATTATACCGTTTTTGTAGATTTGCATTTCCTTTGTATTGTGCAACTGGAAGAACACCTACATGGAATTCAGTAACGGATAGATGATCATTCAGATTAGAAATTAACTGAAATTAATTATGGCATAATACGAAGCATATGGCAAAAAGCAAACTTAAAGTTAGTTGTCCAATAATACAAATGCCTTGGTAATTAAAGTGGAAACTTACGAACGTCTGACTATCATAAAGGGTTTTGCAGGGTGATACATTTTCATCTGAATGACCTTTATATTTTCAGATGTAGGACATTTTTGGATATGTTTAAAAATAGATGGCAGTGAATTTCCTGGGTATTTAGAAAAGTCATTAGTCTCGCATTGTCATATGACTCACTTAGTGATACAAATTAGAAAACGTTTTTGAAGGTAAACATTCTATAACTCTTTACACACCAAATAATTTGTGCTCGGCAGCATTAAATAATTCTATTTTGTATTTTCTAAGTAATGCCTCAAGTTAGTATAATTTTTAGGAATAAACAACATCATGTTTTTAAACTTACTAATCTAGATTTTCTTAGAACTAATGATATTACTCAGCATCAAAATGCAGAGTTATTAGGTTATTTTGAAACATGAGACATGAAAAATGAGCAATGCCCTCGCCGGGACTCGAACGTGGACCTCTCGAATATGCACCAAGTGTGCTACCGTTACACCCCGACGGCATGTAGAAAGGAAAGAGAAAATACCTTTATAAGCCTTTTAGGCGACCCATACAAGATCATAAGGTCTATTTTTAGACCATGTGGATGGGGTCGTATTCTTCTCATTTGTAATCTTTATAAGCCTACCAAGAGGTTTGTAATAAATTCTTCGATTTTTGATTCAGAAATTCATTAGGAAATTCCATTCAGGAGTTACTATTTAAAAATTATTTCCATGACAGCTTAAAGGTACGCTGGTTATCAGTGATCCGTTTTCTGACGCGTAATCCATTTTAGACCTGTCTCATCACGATGAGAAATTCATAGATATACTTCTGTCGTTTATTTTACACTATTGTTGAACGCAGGGCAATCAAAATAATTAATGCACTAAGCATACAAGAAGATGCTTTGCGTAAAAGCATAAAGAAAATCTTTTTCCGTTTTCCACTTGGACGTAGAATTTAAAGATTACTGAACAGTTCATTGCTTTATTTCCCAAGATGCAAATTTTGGATAAAAAATGAAGTACATGAACTAAATAGACGTATGTATTTCAAGACAATCAAGAACAGGAAATTCGATACGAAGGGAGTATGCAAATTGGAAGAATATGATTACCTAAAACTCTCATTTGCACGATTGCATATTACTGCAGTTTGGGAACTTTCCAACACAATAGTATAGATGAGGTTATGTCGTAGAGTTTATAAGAGTGTTTAGTATGGGATAACCCTACGGTTTAGTATCAAAATCAGAAATGGTGAACAATTAATGATATCCACAGACAAGAGTGCAGCTTGACATCTGATGTACGAGATGAGTACGGTTATACGTGCCAGTACAGTTATACGTGTACGTGACAGTACAGTTGTACGTGTACGTGAGTACAGTTATACGTGTGTTGTACGAGATGAGTACAATTATACGTGTTATCTTATATACGAGATGAGTACAGTTATATGTGTTATCTTATATACGATATGAGTATAGTTATACGTGTTATCTTAGCCCACCAGCGGCCGAGCGGTAAAGACGCTGAACACTGGTAGTTCGAATCCCGCGAACAGGCTGGCTGCATGGGCGTTTTCGTGGTTTTCCCCATGTGTAACGTGTATACGAGCCAGTTTCCCTTAGAAAGTCCTCCACGAAAGGCATCCTTCCCCTTAGGCAGATAGCCCTAGTGTGCTTTGCCATAATTAAATACACCACACCACACGTGTTATCTTATATACGAGATAAGTACAGTTATACGTGTTATCTTATATACGAGATGAGTACAGTTATACGTAACAGGGACGATAGACCTTCTCAGAGATTACTGAGTATTTTGTGGTATGTATCATCAATCATCATCATATGGAATTTGCATACTTAATGTAACACAATAAAACTTTCGTAGCATATATCTCCGACATGTGGCTTGGGAGAGGAAAAAGAAATAATTTTGCATGATGTATTGTGAAATATAATTATTGCACGCCTGTGTTTGATCTCTCTATATAAAAAAGAGTTATTTAGCCTTCGTATGTGTTATCAAATGCTACAAATGGCATTAATTATGATTTTTATGGTTATCTAAAATCATTAAAAAATGGGGAAAATATGAGTTGCAATTTGGGAATTTCAGTTATTCTCTAGGGTTCTGAATACTAAGGATGCATGTATTCAAGATGTTATAATATTTTTATTTCAATGAAACAAGTAATAAACTGTTATTCAGAAGCAATAACATCAATTACATCTAAATTATTAATAAGAGCTTAGATTAATTTTTCTGCTGTGCCTTTTACATTAGAAAGAAGATCTAAAACATTAATTATCCAAATTCCTCTTTAAGGATTTGCAGAATGAAAACAAATTCATTATATTTTTTATCTCCTAATTATTTAAACATTATAAAAAATAGAATAAGGTAAAAAAAAATATTATATAAAAGAAACTTTTATTTAAAACACATAAAATAATCAATGAACTAATAGAAGAAAAATAACTCATCATACACTATAGAAAGGAACAAAGTATTAAATAATTCTCTTTAAAAATCATCTACGATTTTATATCACGAATAATAAAAGTGTGAAGCACTCTTGAAAAGTTCATAAATAGAGCAGCTTATAGATTTGAAATGCAGTTCGATTTTTCGGTTTTGTTATTTCGGCACCTGCGCCTTTATTAATGGTGTCATAAACCTGGATGAATAAGAAAATTATTTATTTTTTGTTCGCAAGAAAATAGGATAAATTACTTTTCTTTTACTTTAGCTTTGTTTTCTTCTTAGTGGTAAGTTTTAAATAAAAGTTTATTTTTTTTAAATTAACCTTATTTCATTTTTTTTAAATTTTAATGACCCATTGTCAGTTAAATTATTCAATTTAAAAAGTACTATTTCACTTCCATGAATTCTGTTACGTCAGTGGTTGAAAACACTCAGGGATTTTTCCTAAACGTTATAAATGACGTTAAAAATCTATATAAACTTAATTTTGAGAGTTTTAGTTTATTCCTCAAACGGTGATATGTCCGAAAAATCGTTTCGATATTGAATTTTAAAAACTCTAAATCCAATTTAGAAAATATCTCTTCATCTCATCGTAGTTTCATCGGCAATGAGTATACGGGTAAAATATGAGTTTGACGGTTAATCAGGAAACAGTTTAAACTGAGGTTTAAACTGTTTTGTTTAAACTCATGGTTTAAACTGTTTTGTTTAAACTCATGGTTTAAACTCATGGTTTTTATCAAAAAACATGTTTAAACTCATGGTTTTTATCACTATGATAAAAACAGAGTTTTTATCATAGTGATAAAAACCATGAGAGAGTTAAAAAAAAACTCTACTTGTTAAAATTATGAGTTCTAGAAAGTACCTTAATTCTTACCCTTCTATTACTCTTGTTTTAAATGAGGAGAGGTGTTTCTTTCATAATCTGTGAAAATTTCAAATTTTTAACAAGTATAGTTTTGGGCATTAGAATTTTCAGAAATACTATATGAAAAGATATCTGCGCAGAAGCAATAGGAAGCATATGACATAATGACATCAGAACTTTGAAAGTAACACGTTTACAACCGCTGCGATGGCCCGAAAGCACCGATTTTCCCCTCAGTGGCTGCACGAGACTGAAATTGCTTCCCCATTCTGTTTGAAACTACAGCATATTTTAAAAATAAATATAGGAAATGGTCAATTAAAGTTTTTTGCTTTATAATTCTATGAATCAAAAGCAAACATTTTGCCCTTTTTAAAAACAAGATTTATAATAACCTGTCAGAACTATCAAAACTTTATATTATAATCTGATATGAATCTGTAAATCTGTAATCTTTATAATCTGTGAAATTTCAAAACTTTATACCGGACACATTTTTAGATGTCGAAATATTAAACTAAACAAATCGTCGGAAAAATAGAGAGATTTTCGAAAAATTCAGAAATTAAGTTACAATATTCATGAAAATTTCATTTAAAAATTTTTCTTTGTTCTACTCGATGATGCAAACACTATATTCTGATTTTTTAGTTTCTACCTTAAACTAAGATATCTGAAATAAATCATTGAACGATTAAAAAAAATCCAAATCGATTTTTAAAAACTGCTTCACCAAATAGCATTGTCATCGACCAATACTGTATGAACAATTTTGAACCCGGTTGTTTGTCAGGAAACAAGTTAAAAACGATGACGAAATTCCGAACTGAGTGAAACACCATGAGTAAACTAAACAAAAGTTTATAATTAATAAGAACGTTGAAACTAAGCATTTGTTTTAAAGAAAATAAAAATTAGCTCGAGAAACTTGTTTAAATATCAGAATTTTCCATTTTTTTTCCACCAAAATATTTAGGTTAATTAAATAAAATTATTGCTTTATATACAAATAAGATAATCGCTTTTCAAAACGCTCATTAAATGTGTTTTACATAACTCTCTTAAAGGTTTCGATTTTATCCGAAAATTTCGATTGGACGATTTCGAGTTTGACTTTCCAGGCGTAAAGAAAGTGAAAGGATCGAATAGGATGCAGACAGCTTACAGGCTTTCAAAGCGGGCAGATTTGACTTTGCCTACCAGGTAAGGACATTTTTCACGTAATTTAATTTCACTTAATTCCTGTATACATACATGTATATGTTCGTTTGTGTATATGTTTGTAATACATGTTTTGAGAGATAATAGATATTTTCCGTTAAAAAACAGTCATGGACTAATGGCTAATTATTTTCAAGCATCACCAAGCCTTCTATCAGAAATTTAGCACATAAATGAATAAGTCTGCTGACGAGTTATTCAGATTCACGGGGATATATGGTATCTATTTGTGCAAAAATAGGCTTGCACAGTAAAAGCAGCTCAGTTCCAGTAACTTTTGCCCTGTCGCTCCGATCGCTTGCGATATTGGGTTGCAACTCAGGGATACGATCTTAGTGCACTGCGAGCTATGCTAAAAAGTTTATAGGAGAAATGCTATAGTTGCTAACAGTAGATTTGTCAGTAATGCTGGTGTTTGGAGGATGCAGCTCTTAAAGTCTTGAGCTGGGTGAATTCTAAGTGGGTGGATCCTTATTTCGGCTAACACGTAAGTTGTTCATCTTAACTGTATCAAAGTTCATTTCATTTTCACGATAACATACAGTTACTGTTTTTAATCCTTCGGAAAGATGGAATAAAGCCAGGCATCTGTGCGGCAGTAAATTGCATGGACCTCAGAGAAGTAAAGAACTGATATTGGAACTGATACTTCCAAAAACTGATATTGGAGGACATTGAAACACAGCACACCTGAAAGGCGTTCTGCCTGGTCCATTGGCCTATCACATGAAGCACTAACCCACGTAAACTTATTTACACTGCAAATCCTTTTATTTGCTTAACCTCTCCAATACTGTCAGGATACAGATTCTAAACAGTACATCAAAATACCTCAAGGGGTCAAGGTAGGCGAATTTGGTTCGACAATTCTCATAGGCTTAATACATGCAAGTGATTAATTTTAGCGACACTGCATCTCCAAGATCAAACGCAATTATATATGGACGTGCCGTAATCCACCTTCCAAATGCCGAAGTTCAAAATTAAAAATACTGTCCCTGTACCTTCCTTTCGATTCTTCTTGTCTTCTGTTAGTGTGAAACCATAGGAAAGAGAGCTATAAAAAGAACTCATTGAAAGGACCATCACAACTCATATATAAAAAATGTATTTAATCTGAACACACTTTTTTTGTGCTGCTTTAGTTTCCTCTTTTTATATCCGTACAGCAAAAATGTGCAAAAACTTTCTACAAAAAACATTTTAAAAAACTGAAAATGACCGAATTTTCCTAACAATTTTGTATACAAAATTATCAATCTTCAGTTGTCGTTAAAAATGAGTAGTTCAGTGCTAATGGAATTAGGAAATTTATTTAATACATTTTATTATATATAATAATTAATTGTCACCAGACTAGGTGTACCTGGATATATGACCCTGCATTTAAACTAGTACTGTCAAAATTCAGTTTCTTATTAACAAAACATTAGAAAACAATGCATTTTGTAACTTGAAAGAAAGTTTTTTATTCGATTTTGTAACATTCAGCCAAGACGGTATATAATCCCTTACTGTACTTCTTTTATTTTGAATTTTGGAATAAATATAATAATAATCAATTACCTTCATCGTGAATGGCCATCCAGATCTCAAAACGTCAGGTCAGATTATGTTTTATTATGGATTTACTTGAGTTCTGACGCGAGCATAGATCACTTGATGTCACTGATTTTATCCGGCAGCAATCTTTTAGACAAAGATTTTATTTAGATATCACTAAATAAAATCTTTGTTTAATAGGCATATGAATATCTTTAGTTTGTCTTCAAGCAGCATTCAATAACCGTTTTGGCAAGCTCAGAATTTATCGGGAGGTGTTTTGGATTCTTTTATGGACCTTTATCATAAAGATACTGGAAATGTAAAATTTTGTCTTCGGAGTCACTGAATGGCTAATGGCTTATTACTTTTTAAATTTTTTGGAGCACTTTAAAAATTTCTTATCAGAAACCAGATTTTCAAGTATCTATAAAAATGGCTTTATCAGATATCTATGTGAAATGAGATGTGAGCTCTAATAGTGGAGTACTCAGCTAGTGATATTCAAAAAATGATTTTTGATTGCATTACTTCGTGAGAAGATAAAAAATAACATTTTTATTTTTGTAAATTAAAAAAAAATTACTGAGAAAAATATAAGAATAACACACCCGAATATTCCTTGGAAAGTTTTACAAATTAATTTCAGTTTTAACAAATTTTTCTATTAAAGATAATTTTCAGTAGCAAATTTTCTTTCAAAATAAAATAACGGTACTTACATGTTATCGAAACCATCTTGGCGCAATTTGGCGATTTCTTACAGATGAATAAAAATGTTACACAATTTACTTATTGCATACATAATTGTTATTATTATATACATTTCACATTATGATTAGCGATTCATCTAAAAAATCAATAAATAATCCTACTTATACACAGTTAATACTTTTAATATTTCAATTTATGTGTAAGAAATTAATACCCTCCCTCAAGTTTGCTCGCATGGTGCAAGTGGTTAGCCCTCCAGCTGGCAGCTGGCAGTTTCATATTTCCAATCCTGGCAAACTCGCAAAAGACTTTCTTCCATTTCACAGTACTAAGTATCATAATACATCGGATTATGTTTTTATACGGTGAATATGTTCTGCGTAATATCGATTAAAAATATGCGAAAATGAAGAATAATGGTGGATAGGTTTCCTTGTACTATAAGAATAAATTCAGGATAACAAATAAATAAAATTTCTGATTGTTTATTATACCTTCATGTTAATAAAAATAACATTTAGACAAAATACTTTAAATTGTAACAAAGATTATTCATTATCGAACAATAAACGTACTCATTTGATATAACGTCGCTTTCATCGCTTGAGCTACCCGGAAACTGTGTAATATGTGTACAGTAGTAAGTATAAGAAACAGGTGCAGATAATTCCGAAAACGAATAGGTCACCAGCGACCGAGCGGTAAAGTCACAAAACACTGGTACTTCGGTTACAGGTTTCGAATTTACGAACGGGCTGGCTGCATGCGAGTTTCCGTAGTTTTCCCCATGTGTAATGTGTGTACGAGCCAGTTTCCTTTAGAAGTCCTCCACGAAGGCATCCCCTTAAGTAAATAGTCATCGAAGCTTTGCCGTAAACACATAAACCAAACCAAAAATGAATAGGTAGGTTTAATAATTAGTTCAAAAAGTAACAGTTACGCATTAGCATAATGTTCGATTTTTTTCTTTCAGTGTGTTGTTTAGAAATTCTGATAAGAAAATGTGTGCCGAAAGATAATTTGGAGTAAGAGTCTTTAGAGTAGCGCTAACCAACGGCCGAGACTGATAGTTCAATCCTGATTAAAATGCCGGCAATTCAGCTAGCTGCATGACAGTATTCTCGGCTTTTTCTGTAACGTAAATATGTCAGTTTTCCTTAGAAAGTCCTCTATAAAGGCATCCCTTTTATTTTCGGGAGCTGTCATAACCAAATTCGATCCAATGTCCTATACTGGCGCACAAACTATAGCGGATTTACGATAATTTGGCACTGCCAGTATTTGGCATGACTAGGGAAGAGGCACGATGGGTCTCGTGCCTCTTCCCTAGTCATTCTTCAGGCTTGGGAAAACGTAAAGAACTATCGTAATCCATCGGGCGACCTCCTGCGGTATAAAGTAGTTCCCATATCCTATTAGAAGAACAAAAAGTCGAATCCTCGTAATAGCACAAATGATTTATGGCGGTTTCCCGTTCTAAAAAAACTTAATAGTTTCTACATGCGAAATGCTAAGTTACCGTATAAGAAATGCATGGTTACTGGTTTGAAAAAAAATTAAACACTTTTTTGAACCTTTGAAACTATTTTGTATCAACCTAAGTCTCATTAAAGCGCAGTAGTGGTTCTTTTTAGCATATTGTAACTCCGTTATATGCAAGTTGCTATCTTTTTATTCTTCTTAAACAGGATACATTCCCTTTATCTTTTCCATTTGGATAAAACTTTAAAAAAACACTCAAATAAGAAATCTTTTTCATTTTCTGGAGAGAAGAGGAAAAAAGCATGTGATCACTAAGATGAAAACTAAAAGTCGATCCTAACAAGGCGAACAGAATGAATCTCAACATTTTCAATAAAAAGGAGGAAACATTGTTACGAAAGCGGAATTCCTGCCTTTAGGAATCGCGAAATCAAATTGGGTTCTTATTGACTTCCTAATAATAGATTTTCGAGAGATTTTCCTTTTCAACTGATTTTTCTGAATGGAACTGCGATGATTGTTTGATATCTCTCGTTGTGATATCCAGAACAAAGTGTGTAGGACACTGAATCAATTTTGTTCATTAAATTTTGATTTGTATTTTTGTAAAGTATGTGTTTCGTTTGATCCAAATTCATTGCAACGATAAGATGATATCAGATGAAAATAAAAGTACATTGCCAAATATACTTTCAATTCTATGAGACTTTTCTGTTTGCGATATTTTACTTCTACAGTTAGTTACTGCAGAAGTTTAGGTTATGGGAGAAAGAAAACAGAATGTAAAGTTTAAATTGATGAATCATGGCCAACCATGAGGCATTTTTGATATATTTTTCGAACCGTGTTGTAACACAATATTACATTCGTTTAGGTTACTTGCCATAATCAAATAAGCTAAACTAAGCTATTTAATTTTTCTTTCAAATTCATTCTGTTATTAATAAAGAAACTGATGGATTTAAGTGCAATAAGGAAATATTAATTAACATTATTATTATTTATTAACTAGATTCATAAAATTACACTAACCGGATGATTCATTAAAATCATCTACATATGTTGTTGTGTTCTACGGGTTCGTGGATTTGGAGTGATTGATGACAACACTTGATGAAGAACCAAAACACAATTTATTCGTCAGTATTACACAGGACAGTTCCAAAGCTGTGTTACAGTCTTCGAAAAACTACGATAAACACACTGAAACTATCAGCAACACAGCCTTCAGGCTATAATGTTAT